TTGTAAAATTTAAAGGTTCTTATTTCAAAAATAACATAAAGCCAGGTTTACACAAGCAGTTTTTGTGAGAAACATGTTTCACTGTGTACATGGCACAGCAAAAATTTTGATTACAGTTCAAAGTTTAGTATGCCAGTAATGATTGGACAGCAGAAATATGCACAATACTAAAGACCAATGTGGTAGCAAAATTTGCTACAGTTTACGTTATTTGCTACAAAAAGCTAGCACACACAGCTTTTAATGAACAAATATGTTTGTCACATAAAAATTGGTTAACTTACATCTACAAAAGCAGCAGTAATGGAATCTAAATTTTCCATGTCCCTTGTGTCTCGGTTGTAGCAATGCCTTATTTACCTAAGCAGACTAATGGTTTGATCAAGAACTTTGGCATGCGCTTCTGCAACTTCTGAGTCAAAATTCTCAAAAATTATTTCCGTTTTATCCAAGAAGTCCGTAAGAACCTAGGAAACTCAACTTCTAAATCTAGTTCTCCTTCACCCGCCATGTTTTCAGTGGTCTCTAGTGCTCAGTTACTCTCGTTCCTGTTGGCCACGCTTGGCCCAGGAAGATTGCATCAATATTTGAGGTATTGGATTGAATCAATATTCCAGGTATTGGATTGCATCGATATTCGAGGTATTGGATTGCATCAATATTCCAGGTGTTGGATTGAATCAATATTTGAGGAATTGGATTGTATCAATATTCCAGGTATTGGATTGAATCAATATTCCAGGTATTGGATTGAATCATGAAAATTAAAAGATTGAATTGAACCAAAAATGATATTTGCCATTGGATTGAATGCCTTTTTATATCTTTAAATAAAACCATTATTTAAAGCATTAAACATATATTGCAAAGATTAAATTTTGCTACAAACAGCTTACCATAGAGGAGGGATTCTCTCGAAAAACAAGTACAAGTTTTTTCCTTCTAAAGATTTAGAAATAGTCACGCCTTCTCAGAGGAATATGTCAACTCAAAATGCTGCCAGCCAATGAAATAACAGAACCCCTAGTGTTTACAGTATGGAAAGTTGAGCTTCGCGGTAAAGCGATAGTGTTACAGTCACATTTTAGGTACGCACGTTTTAGGCCGGTGGTCAACAATAAAGGGCAAATTGGGAAAAGTGATGTGCAACAAAGCAAAAACAAACTGAGAAGCAATTGCCAAAGCATGATTACAAGAAGACACTCTTGATGAACATGAAACCCCAAATTGAAGGTACTTGCTAAAGGGTCTCTGGATTAAGCCGTTTGCCGCGAAAAGGTCGCTGAGGAGTCCATGCCTTTTGGGGATTATGACACCTTGACAGTTTTTATTTTCATTTTTTGGAAATGTTACCTTGAATAATGAACTTTAAGGTCATTCCACTGAAATAGAACCTGCACTGAGATTCTTGTGAAACTTTGCCTATTGATTGTGTACATTATAGGAACTTAAATTTTGAAATAAAAATGGGGGGTCCCCATGTTCGTGTACGAGCAACAGCACCTGTTTATACCCAACAAATCCTTATAATAGCACCATGATTGTAGTCACGATTGCTTGCTAAATTCACGTTTCCAACAATTGCTTTTTGTTCTACACTGAGAATTGGTCCATATTTATTTTACACAGAGAAATCTATTACTCAAGTCAAAACAACAGAAAAAAATGATAGGTCACCATACTCGTTTGCGAGAAAATGATGATTTACCTCCATGGCGAGGTCCAGCCGTAAAGAAAAAGCCGCCATTTTTTAATGCACGCACGCTAATCACACGTGAAATTATGTGCAATATGGATGCGCAATGCAATACTGGGGAATGACCTTAATTTGGTTAGAAAAAAGAAAATTTGGAAAAAGTAGCCCCGCGAAGGTTTGGAGTAACCTCAATCTTGTTCCCAGATCTCTTGTGGATGAAGCCAATGGTGAGATCTGGTCAAGGCTGACTGATTCTTCTCATTGATCGACTATTCAATCCACCGCACAAGGTGGATTGAATAGGAAATAAATTTTAACTCAAATGACAACTATTACAACTTTATGTGACCAAGTGTACAACTTAAATGCAAGAGAAGTTTCTTAATGAGACATGATTTTAATGGCTGACTTGTAACCTAAGCAGCAACAAATACAAGTCAACAAATTGTAACTAGCAGAAAGATACAGTAAGGTTCACATAGATAGATAGTTAATAGGTGACTAGAGGCCACTTGTGGTATTATTGTAAAGATATTCATCTCATTAACAGGTATCAAAATTAGAGGCATGGGTTAGGGCATCAGTTTTCTGCATTACAGATAGACATTGCTGTGAAGAAATAGAACATCAACTGCTACCTGGTTTTGATGTATATAAAAAAAAAACCTGTCATTTCTTCAGGCATCCCTAAGAGCTTTTCTATGACTAACATATAAAATAGCTGTTCCTCAATGACATTTTTATTGGCATTGCCATTAGCGTTGGCAGTGACATGTTGTATTTTTCTGCTGTAGCTGTTCTCCAAGATAGCAGTGACCCTGGAGTTGTTGACTTGTATTATACCATGCATTGTTTGTCCAGTGAGGACATCAAAGGCTTGCCGCCAGGTGGAGGACTCCCAGCTAAGTAAGTGTTACCTTCACAGAAACATGCACACAAACATTGACACATCAGTGACTACAGCTGGGTCTCTGGTGAATATATTACATACAACATTGAGGATTTCTTTGAAAAGGTCAATTTCAACATGTATATGACACAATTCAGTAACAAGAAACACTGAGCTTGTTCTATAGTTATTAAGCATTTAAAGGTAAAATCAACAATGAAACACTGTCTCTTGTGTTTGATATATTACATGAAAAATAGATAATGAATTAAATTTATTTGTTATCATCTTCCCATAAGGGGATTTTCGGAATAATGAAACAAATACTACAAATAGAACATATTAAATGGAGAATCCCAGACCAGTTGATTATGTTACAAGCTTGGCTGAGGAGCTGAACTTGAGTCTGCTGTGAAACAACCCAAGCGAGTTGTCAGAAGAGTACTGAAGCCTATGGTCTAACCACTCAACATGCTGTCTCCCATTCACACATAATGCAATGAACCATTGACTACATAAAGAAAATACAGTTGAACCCTCATTAAGCAGCCACCCTCAGGGAAATGGGAGGTGGTTGCTTATTTGGGGTTGGGAACAAAAGGAATTTGTCAGGAATCAGATTTAGGCTATATAAGCAGGGTTTATAGTAAACGCAAGACTTTGCGAGAAGGCGAGACTAGCATTTTTTTTTTTTTGTGAGCTTGAGACATTTTGACTTTTTAAATTGTGAGACGGAGACTTCAAAGTTTAAATGCGATTGCTAGACGTTTAGACAATCAGACTCTTAAGACTTGCATACATCATTTATAAGAACAAGCAAATCCAGACCTTATGACTCTCTTAGCCTTGCAAAAAATCGAGACTCCAAGACATGCTTGTGAAAAAATCAATACTGCAGGACACACATGACTGCTGAAAAAACCTGAGACTACAAGACCCATGAAATTCGCCAAAAATCTGGGAGAGCCATGGTTTTGGAAGGACCATTTGCCAACTTCAATTTATTCAGATACAAACTTTAATTTAATAGAATACAAACTTTAATTTAATAAAATAGAAACTTCAATTTATTCAAATAAAAACATTCTTTAAGGCAACTTGGAATCACTTGGCCAAAGACAGTAATGAATGTGTGTTTGTAAGTTTTATCAGTGGTCACTTTCTATTTCGGACTCTTATCTGCCATCCCCTTGTCCAAAACAAAACCAAACTACCATATTAATTTTGGGTGGCTGTTTAATAGAGGTAAAGACAATAGAAAACCATCGTCAAAATAACCAAAAGGTGGCCACAGGTTGCTTTATAGAGGTGGCCAGTTAATAGGGTTTTTTACAGTATTTAACTGGAAACAATTGCAAGACTTTGATAACTGGCTGCTTTACAGGGGTGGCCACTTAATAGAGGTTTGGCTGTACCCATAACCACACAAATGTGGTAAAAAAACAATTTTAATTACTTTGGAAAGTCAATTGAAAACCACTCTGAAACAACTTTTACGTAACATTTCAAGTATGTTAAGTGTTCCTGTAAAAAAACAAAGGAATAATTTCACGTAAGAAAACGTTCTGTATTTAGGTGCAATGTGGGTATTTAAAAAAATGGCTGACTTGGTTTATTGAGAAGAGTAGTACGTGTATACATGTAGTATTGGTACGTTTACAGTTTTGTATAAGACTGCCTTAGATAAAGGATATCTCAATGGCTGTTGCAATGTTGTTAAAATGAGTGCTTTTACAATCTTTCTAGACAAGTCTTCATTCACACCACTTTGGAAAAACTGATAGCTAAACAGACAGAGGAGGTGAGATCAATTGTTTGTATCAATATGATCCATAGCAGAATTCTTATTGAAGACTCAAGGTGTACTACATGATGTAATACAAATTTTATTAGAAAGGCCAAGGTTCTAGCTTTCAATATGAGCTAATATGTTAAGGTACAATTCTCTAACTGCAGTATTTGAAACAATAAACAATAATTCTGAAACAATAAACGATAATGCCTCAGTGCCTTATATTTATTGCTTGAGTCTTATTCTTGTCACAGTTAGAAATCAAATTTTCAAATTCTTCATTTTTAGACCTGTACTTGTCATAACGTAAATCAAGAGTGGTGTTGGTGGTGATAACAGCCAATGTTAAGCCTGATGTTTTTCTTGTCAACCCAACTTTACAATGTTCTGGCATAATGATGTTGTTCTGATATTGAGTCAAGTTTAAGTCAATAACAGCCCTGCCCTTAAACGTACTGCAAGAAACAACCAACAAGTTAAGTTAATATTGTCAAATTGGAAACCTTGCTTCAAAGTTTCTTTGCAAATTATGGCTTACGTTTTCAATTCTGAAGCACAGGTTTGACTTTAACAATGGTTACAGCTGACTGCCTTTATTTGTTAATGTTCTATGCTTTGTTTTGATAGTCAGAATGAAGAAGCCATGGAGCTTTCCTGAAGAGAAGCTTGAGAGTCGAGGACATTCTGTAGCTACAGTTTTTGTGATGTGTTTGATTATTTTGTTTAAGTAGACCTAGATGTGGTATTAGACAGTTTCAAGATTGATATGTGTTTATATAACTTGTATTCTGAAATTTTCAAGAAGTATACTTTTGATCAGTGTAACAAATTAAAGCAACCAGTAGCTGATGACATGTAGTCTTCATTATTATTATTATAATCTTAAAATGTACATTGTCCTTACTTGTCAGCTTACAATTGGTTGTGATTATAAGAGGAGACTATTGTGATGTATTCAGTTAGCTTATCGCTCCTTTGATTTTACTCCTATGTTTTGAATTAAAAACATTACCCATCTCCCTGATTGGCTTTCAGCATGCAAGGGTTGACTTTAAAACTGATAGCACTCTGTTTGCGCCTCTGTTTTTAATTGGACATTTTCAATTTCTTGCTTGTCTCACAGTTTGTAGTTTCCCATAGTTGAAGTCAATTCCGTTTAGTGTAGATAATGCAGTGCTGTATATACGAGACTGAAAAAGGCTGTCAAGAACTAAACAACACAACCTACTAACTTTTTGGAAAACTGGTGAACTGTTTAGCAGTTCCTTTTTCAAACATTTTTCTGTTGTTAAACGAAATCAGCATCTTTGACCATTAATGCAAGAAGGAAAAACGCACCAATTTGTTGTTCCAAAAAGTCCATAAGGTCGTATTGTTTATTGTTGATACTTAATGCAGACAGCATTTTTCAATCCTAAGGTATATGCACTTTAGTGCGAGAATCAAAGCAATGTGGTCCAAACCATTGCCAAAGGCCATCTGTTAACAGGATGTTTGCTCGTCGATGATGGTGATGACGATGGTAATGGTGATGGTGATGATGATATTTAATGAAAACAGAGTAAACTGCCAGCTTGTTGGCACTTTCTGGCCTAGGATATATTTACAAACTTGTAGACAACCAAGAGCATTAAGATTAACTGATCACAAGAAAAGGTCTATTGCAATGTGAAGTTAACGGTTAGTTTAATTAGTAAGTTCATTCGAAGGAACAAGTATCTTTCAAAATCTGATCTCTGATAAGTAATTACATCTGTGGTTTTTGTCAGAGGTTACTATAGCAGAAGCTAACATTACTCTCTGGCAAAGGCCCCCTTTTATTTACATTATAAGGTAATTCCTGGAATCGTTAGATCACCGAACACAGCACTTGTTCTTAGACTCGTCGACAGAATTGGAAATAGTTAATCCCTGTATGTGACAAGTTATTTTAATGATGGTAAACTACTTTGACATATGATAAACTTTGTAAATCGGCCCGTTTTGAGTGTGTGTGTGGTTGCTTCTCTTACTTTCTAGCCATTGACGCACTACAGACATAAATCTTTTGTCAGCTCAGCTGAGTCAAACCGTACGCGCCAGGGGATATCACGATCATGCGCAGTGCACGAGTCGGATACAGCAACACTGCTACGTCTTTGTATTTGCAAATTCCAAGTCCTTTTTCGATAAATCTGGGTTGGACTGATAGATATGTAAACATATTTAATTATTCGTTCGTGTTAGCTTGGTACACATGATGGTGTCTTCGTGACAATATGATTAGCTCTTGTATAAAGTTCACTCTAAAATAAGGGTGTGAGCTTCACCCCAAGCGAGACACGAGTACAATTTGAAAGCTCTGTAACGTACTCTGCTAGCTGTAGAGCTTTACTTGTGTGTAAAATAGCTAAACCCTCACTTTCCTTAGGAATATATTCCACCTTCATCAGAGTGCTTAACGCTTCAGGTAATAATTTACACATTAAGACAGCATTTGGAACCATTGAAGCTCATGTATTATTCACTCTAACTTCTTCACTGAAACGTAATCTTCACAGACGTAATTTGCGAACCACTAAAGGCTGATAGGCGACCCACAACATGTATCAGTGGATGCGAGAGGTTTATTTACACACAATGCCTGATTAAAAAAGAAACCTGTTACTTCTTATACGTTAAAGAATTAAAAATGTAAGAACAGTAACCATTTGTAAGTCTCTTGTTTTATTCAGTTCACACCAAATAAGGGTGTAAGGCTTCACTCGCGAGGCTCGCGTGTAAAAGTACTCTTATCTAATGGCGCGGGAAAGTCTGACTGTTGCGAAAGAAGTTGACTATTTTCTGACTATTTTCTGTTTGGGCTATTCTTACTCTTTTACAATTACTTTGCATGGAGCTCAGATCTCTTCTCTTCGCGTGTGGTCATCTCGGCGTAAATTCTAGAGCTCTGAAGTTGAGAGATTCACCACAACTTTTACAAAGTACAGTGACTCTGAAGGATTATAAAGAAGTTTTTCAGAGGAAAGAAAACCAAGCCAGCCCAAAGTTAACCCGAGCGGGGCGGGGGGGGTTCTCCCTTACATGGGCTAGACGAGCGTTCCTCCGCCAGAACAGGGCAGCAAAGACATGTTAACGATAGAAAAATGCTTATCCCTTAGAGGTTTGATAAGCTACTTATGATATGTGATGTTACTGATCTGTGCTCATTTTTGCCGTTGTTTCATGTGTTTAAAAAAAAAAAACCTTGTTTCTCAGGCATTCTTTGTCGGTGTAGCCACTATCTCCATGCTTGTTGCATATTTGTTTTAAAGTGAAAATCTCGTGTGTTCTTTAAAGAATGAGTCTCGGTGCACAAGTTTGAGCCGCCGCACTAGCAAGTCCGCATAGAGGCCACAAATTTTCCAGACGAACTGATCACCCAGAATCTTCTATTTGAGAAATAATTTTGGTCCTGTTTTTTAAAGTAGGTTTTTCTTCCATCTCGCCCGTAGCAAACATAGAAGTGCTCCATGAACTGTTCTGGACCTGCAGGTGAGTGAAGGGCCTCTGTGAACACGTCTACGCCGTGATAATGTGCTTGGGCCACATAGTGTTCACGATATGGAGCAAAGAGAGGTGCGTCCCAGGTCAAGGTAACGCTACATAACACCAGCACTGCCAGAAGGCACGGTAGATAACCCCAACCCCAGGCTTCCACTGACATCCGGTCAAGCTGCAACAAATAAATACTAGTTTTGCAACGCTTTCTCGTGGTATACCATGGAATAGCCCCCGAGTCTACGCCTTTAGGCTGGTGTGTATACCAAGAATATACAAGTGACAAGTGGGATATTCCATGGATATACTATGCCATAGAAAATACAGTGACCACTACAATCAATGCGACATACTCGCAGCGATAAATGGGAAGAATAGTCAATAGAACGTTTGGAAATCGATCTTAATCGAACCCAATCGAACCTCGGGGGGGTGTACTGCCATATATGGGCTATATAGGTATGTGCCGCTGTGAAGGGTACGGTTTTCAAGCAGTTTACTCTGGAATAGGGTATATAAATCAGAACGTTTGGGTCTAGAATAGGGTATCATTTTTCACAAAACTGACTGGTTGGTTGAAGATTTTATCTAGAGTAAGGAAACCANTTCAGAATGTGAAAATACCCACCTTTTTCTTGATGTCTTCCTGCTCAACAGGCTTGCGCTCATCCACCTTTCAGGCCTGGGGGGGGGGGGCACTGTCATACATGGGCTATATAGGTATGTGCCGCGGTGAAGGGTATGATTTTCAAGCAGCTTACTCTAGGATGGGGTATATAAATCAGAGTGTTTGGGTCTAGAATAGGGTATCATTTTTCCCAAAACTGACTAGTTGGTTGAAGATTTTTATCTAGACTAAGGAAACCAGGAATTGCCACTCAAAAATATAAAAAAATCAAATCGGCGAGTTTAAATTTACGCAAATCAGCCTCAATAGTGTCGATAAATGGGGGGATTTGGGGAGTTTACTCAAGTATAGGGTAGCAAAATTCAACTGAACTAGCTCTGGTATAGGTTAAGGGTTCCAGGGCCCAAAGCGGCACATCCCCATCCAGAAATTCCCAAAGTACCCCCCCGGTAAATTCGCAATAGAATATCAGTCTCGTGTGAAAATAGCGGACAAAATAGCGAGCTAGAGTTCGTGTTTTTATTTATTTATTTATTTATTTATTTATTTATTTATTTATT